ATGCTCAAAGCTGTCATTCACCTGCTGCTAGCTGAGCATGTCGCAAGCCAAATGAATGCTGTGGAAGCAACTTGAGGCTTTTATTACAGTAAAATGCAAAGAAACAGAAAGAACCATGTGCAGCTCATCTTCTGTTTTTCCACTAGAGAGGCGTTTTTACTGTGCCTACGCGAGGCATGTCGAAGTGTATCTCATTCTGGGGAGCAGTCCGAAAGCTGGTGTACCAAAACCCATGCAACAAAACCGCACAACGCACAGTGTTCGCAAAGGCTCAGGGGCCACGGCAGCCTGCTGGGCCGCCTCCTGCCATGACCCTACGAAGTGGGCTGACACTGTTGCTTTTGGTTTCTGTAGTCGGCGGAAGGGCGAGGGTGAGGACGTTCGTCCTACAACAAAACGAAACGACATCGCGCACTTATACTTCTACAAAAATGTTAAAGAAGTTCAGGTCTGGGAGGAGGACTGGCGTGACGAAGCTCCTGCCGTCCCCGTCTCAGTGCGGGCTCTACGATCACTGGACAAGCGAGTCCGAAGACGCCACTGCTCCAGCAACACAAAAAAAACCGACATGATGCACGTGCAGGTGCTATTGCCAGCAATCTGATACGAGACACGAAACACAGGAACGTAAGTCGACAGCAGCAACTGTACTGCCAACAGGCTGAAGAAGAGCTGCAGGACCACTTAGCGTGAGTCTCAGCGAATGACGCAAGAACAGAAGACCGCACTGGAACCCGCAGAACTTCAGCTATGCGCAGGCGGAGCCGGAAGAGCTAGTGGCCGTGGCCGAGACGGTCACGGCCCCGGCATGAAGCAGTCGAGCCTGCAAAGTGCAGACAAGCAGCTACGCTTGTCTCTGTCCCAGTATGGGGTAGGAGTAGCTTTTTACCGTTAGAAGCATGAGGACAAGAAGGAATCTAGTAAAAGAAAGAAAGTTGCGTCGCAGCCACGAAAAACTATCAGGCTGAAGAAGAGCTGCAGGACCACTTAGCGTGAGTCTCAGCGAATGACGCAACAAGAGAAGACCGCACTGGAACCCGTAGAACTTCAGCTATGCGCAGGAGGGGCTGGAAGAGCCACTGGCCGTGGCCGAGGAAGTCCCGGCCCCGGCATGAAGCAGTCGAGTTTGCAAAGTGCAGACAAGCAGCTACGCTTGTCTCTATCTCAATATGGGCTCGGAGTGAGCATCTTACCGTTAGAAGCATGACGACAAGGAATGTAGTAAAAGGAAGAAAGTTGCGTCCCAACCACAAAGAAATATCAGGCTGAAGAAGAGCTGCAGGACCACCTAGCCTCCGCACTGACCCGCGTACATTCAGCTATGCGCAGGAGGAGCTGGAAGAGCCACTGGCCGAGGAAGTTCGGGCCCCGGCATGAAGCAGTCGAGTCTGCAAAGCGCAGACAAGCAGCTACGCTTGTCTCTGTCTCAGTATGGGCTCGGAGTGAGCATCTCACCGTTGGAAGCATGAGGACAAGGAACCTACTAAAAGCAAGAATTGCGTCCCAGACACGAACAACTATCAGGCTGAAGAGGAGCTGCAGGACCACCTAGCATGGGTCTCAGGGAATGAGAAGACCGTGCTGGCACCCGCATACATTCAGCTATGCGCAGGAAGAGCTGGACGAGCCAGTGGCAGTGGCCGAGGAAGTCTTGGCCCCGGGACGAAGCAGTCGAGCCTGCAAAGTGAGCACAAGCGTGGAGTGAACGCTAGAATACGAGTCAGAGCAAGAGAGGATACAGCATTACACGTGGCTCTAAACGTTGTCCTTACGCAGGCGGAGCAGGCTGGGCTGGAGCCAGGAGTACGAGCCTCGAAAAGCTTCAGAGCAAAGGTCTCAGCGCTAACTGTAATATGTGCGCCACGCTGAACAGCTGCAGGGCCTGATCGAGACGCTTCTGGGGGAGGCATCGACGGTGTCTGCCCTCTAAGCAGTTGCAGACACGCATTTTCGTTTCCTCGATGTACAATTGTTACGCAGGCGACGCCAGAAGAGCTGGAGTGCGAGGACGACGAGGCCCGCGCCGCGTAATGATCAAGTCTGACAAGTGCAGCTAGCACACACGACGTGCAAACATGAAAGTTGTCAGGTGCAGGATCTGGAGAATCCTGAGAGCTCCGAGGCAGGGGTCTCGGCAAGCGAGCGGAAAGCATAACTATCAACGGAAAGTGCTGATACTGCTGTTTTGCAGGAGGAAAAGGAATGGCCTGCGTGCGAGGAGGTCCGGGCCACAGCATACAAGGGGATGTTGGTCTGGCGTAAACAGGTCAGCAAGTGTAAACCTTGGGGGACTCTGACAGTCTGCAAATGCTTTGACTGTTCGGCCGACGGTGTGCAAATGCTTTGACTGTCCGGCCAAGGACCCGGCGCCGAGCAGTGCGTTGGAGAACGCCGCGATCTCAGGGTGAGCAAAACAAAACACGTCTGCACAATCATCTCAGGTTGTCAGGGGAGTGGCCTAGGGCGCACATTTCAGACCCCCAACTGCGCTATTCCACAGGGACTGGGCCTAAACCGGGCGACCCATTTTAGACCTTTTGTTGGCTATTCCCTTGCCGACTCCAATCGAGATTGACACTGACGTCCAAGGCTCTAGGTTAGGCGGGTCTGCAATGGCAAGCTGGGAAGGGTCCAAAAATGCATCTGGACCCATTTCAGACATCTGGTTCCCTGATCCTCAAGGGTCACTATTAAAACCTCCCGCAAAATGAAGGGATTCTCTATGCGTCGACGAGGTGCCCCTGACGCCCAACCGGCGTCCCGTACCGCTGAAATGGATGACGAGGACGGCCCACACACAAGCCCTCTGTCTTCTTTGTAAGTAGAAAAAAATCATGAACAGCTATTCTCGTCCAGCCTCTCGCAGGAAGCGAAGAGCCATGCTGGAGGGTTGCCCGTGGAGGCCCTTTCAAGTCCAGGTGTCAAACGTATGGTATCAACCAAGAAAACACCTGACCGCAGGGCGGCTGAGGCAAAGTGCCTCAGAAATGAGGAGTGGCGGCGCGGCTGGCGATGAGGCCCGGGACGTCCTGTGTGCCGCTGCTTGCTACATTGCGAACTTGTAATCACTGGACCTTTAACCTGACATCCAAATCCATTAGCTCGAGATTGTAGACCTCAAGCCACTAGAAGGGAAACTTTGCCTCTTGCCACATGCTGCAGGAAGCGGCAGGCGCTCTTGGGCCCTTGGAGGCAACATGCGCGCGACGTTGCCCGGTTCCCCGAAGTCCCAAGACTAGAAACCCTTAATTTATGGAGGTTTTGGGTTTAGGGTTTAGGGTTCAGGGTTTCGGGTTTAGGGTTTGGTGTTTCGGACTGAGGATTGAGGGTTCCTTCATGGCCATAGCATCCTCAATTTAAAAAATAGCCGCAGATCTCAGGACTGAAGCCCGAGCTGAAGTTATAGTTTAGGGTTTAGGGTCTACGGGTGTAGAAGTTTAAGGTTTAGGGGTTTAGAGGTGGAGGGTTTAGGGTTTAGGGTTTAGAGTTTAGAGAAAATTCTTCAGGGATGGAGGAAAGCTTCATCAGGGGCCTAGGTACCTAGTGAGCCTTGGGGATTGAGGAGTATTAGGGAAGCTCGGGCTACGTACTTGCCTTGAACCCTTTAGGGTTGACGGTTTAGAAGTTTAGGGGTATAGGGTTTTTCGGTTTAGGGTTTAGGGTTTAAGGTTTGGGGGCCCTTGAGAACTCTGCAATGAAGGCACAGGGCACCTGAGTTTCTTTAAACCCTAAACCCTAACAAGGCCCATCTGGGCTGTGTATAGTTTCTGGGAACCCGAGGTTTCTGGGGAGCCCCTAAACCCTAAACCCTAAACCTTCAATCCGAATCTAGCGATGCAGGGTTGAGGGTTTGGGGCCTCCACTCGGTAGCAGATGGCTTCTGTGGCAGGTGGCAGCTTGGCGCGTGAGAAAGCCCGGAGCCACGCCCTCGCCAAATAGGTATAGTATGGTATAGTCATAGTAATATGTGCTATAATAATAGCCTAGGGGGGCTCCCGTTGCGGTGTGCCGATTTAGACTGTTTATAATTAAAAAGATACTGTGTTTTTCTTCTTGTTGCACCCGCAAGTAAATATGTCTAGGCAAGTCGGCAGACCGCAACGACAGGGCAGGTCTGGTTGGCGAGGGTTAGTTCGGGGGGCTTGGGCCCGAACATTTTTAAAGAGCTTCTGGCTTGGGGTTTAGGGTAGAGGGTTTAGGGTCTAGGGTTTAGGGTTTAGACCGTAGGGTGTAGGGTTTAAGCTTTAGGCTGTAGGGTTAGGGTTTAAGGTTTAGGCCTTAGGCTTTAGGGTTTAGGGTTTAGGGTTTAGGGTTTAGGGTTTAGCGTTTAGGGTTTAGGGTTTACGGTTTAGGGTTCAGGGCTCAGGATTTGCATCCGTAAGCGACGTGACGCTGCTCAGACTCTGTGATCGCCGCCTAGGAAATCCAGACGAGAGACAGCGTCAAGGTCGCTATAGACTGTTTCGAAGCATCACGAAACATGTAAAGTAGATGCTATACCCTCAACCCTAAACCCTACATCCTAGACCCTAAACATCCTTAAACACCAAACCCTAAACCTTAAACAAGAGAGCGATCCGTCTCAGCAGACCAAGTCGGGTCTGTTTTTGTCGAGTGGCACTGCTGGGGACGTGCATATGAGCCTCGTCCGAAGCGAAGTTCGTCCTTCAAAGTGTTTGGCGGTTCAAGTGATTCAAGTCTCGGCTAAACGAATCTTCGTCATTTGGAGGGCGGATTTTTGGAAGTCATGCGTGGCTTCAATGCAGATGTTCTCGCCATGGCAGCACCAGCTTAGATGCCCGCAGATCCAGGGACCTTGCAGATACGATGAGGATCGCCTATGTCTACTACAGACTCATTAAGCCCTAAACCCCAACCCCGAAACCCTAAACCTTGAACCCTTAACCCTAAATCCTAAACCCTAAACCTTAAACAAGAGAGCGATCCGTTTCAGCAGACGAAGTCGAGGTCTGTTTTTTCCGAGTGGCACTGCTGGGGACATGCACATGGGCCTTTTTGATTCGAAGTTCGCCCTGCATCGTGTTTGCCAGGTCAAGGGATGTGAGCATGTCTCGGAAGCTCAAAGTTAGACGAGTCTTTGTCATTTGGAGGGCGGATTCTTGGAAGTCACGCGTGGCTTCAAGGCAGACTTTCTCACCATAGCAATACCAGCTTAGATGCTCGCAGATCCAGGGACACTGGAAAATGCTCTTGAGCTGCGATGAGGATCGCATCTGTCTACTGCAAATCCTTTAAACCCTAAACCCGAAACCTTAAACCCCAACCCCTAAACCCCCAAACCCTCAACCCCAAACCCTAAACCTGAAACCTTCAACCCTAAACCCTAAAACCCTAAACCCTAAATCGACGAAGAGCACAGAAGCTGACAGGCCCTAAACCCTAAACCTTAAACCCTAAATCCTAAACCCTAAACCCTAAAGCCTAAACCCTAAACCTAAAACCTTCAACCCTAAAACCCTAAACCTTAAACCCCAAACCCTAAACCCTAAACTATACATGTTTATAGGAGATAAATATACATACAAATTTCTATTATGTATGCTTAAGAGATAAGAAAAATTCAAGGTTAAATGAACCCTAAAGGCTGCGGGCTCATATATATATATATATATATATATATCTGTATATTTATAGAGTATATAACCCCAAGAAAGGTCGTGGTAGCCGCGAGCTGTTTTTTCTCAACCACCTTGAGCTGCAAAAGAACGCATTGGAAATTCTGACGACTCAACAAAAACCCTCCAGACCCGTGGCCCCCAACGACTCAGCAAAAACCCTCCAGACCCGTGGCATCCCACTCTAAGACCCTGAAAACCCCCAGTTGTATTATGATCCATCTGGTTGTATTATTCCCCATCTAAGCCCATTTGTCAAGATTTCAGTTGTAGTTTTACCCATCTGGTTGTATTATCATCCATCTAGTTGTAGTTAGCCTTATTCTCGGGTTTAGGGTTTAGGGTTTATCGAGGTGTTGAGGGTTTGGGTTTAGGGTTTAGGGGGTAGCGCCCGCCTTCGGGTTTCAGGTTCGCAGACTTACGGTTTGCTGGGTTTGGGACCCTGACTGACCAAAACTGTACCCCTCACTTCCTGATTTAAGCAGTCCCCAAACCCCCCTAACCCTAACCCTGAACCCTAAACTCTAAATCCCCTAACCCCCTAAAGCCCTAAATTCTAAACCCCAAACAAAAGCCCTAAACCCTAAACCCTACCCTAAGACCCTAAAACCCCAAACCTCCAAAGCCCCCAAGGGTTCGGTCGCGCACACCGCCAGGAGAAGCCTTGCCCGGCCCAGGTGTCGGAAGACAAGGACCCTTCGGGTGTTGGGTTTAGGGTTATCGGGTTTAGGGTTGAGGGTTCAGTGTTTAGGGTTTCGGGTTCAGGGGACTCGGAATGAATGTGGCTTAGAGTCCCCTATATAAACCTACAGAACCCGCAGCCAAAATCTTTTTGACCACACCCCCCAAGACCCGAAACCCGTTAACCCCTCCAAGCCCCTAAACCCCCCAAACACTCCCGAAACCCCCGTAAGCTCACCAAACCACACCCCTTAAAGCCCCTATGCCCGAAACCCCAGACCCTAAACCCTAAACCCTAAACCTTAAACCCTAAACCCTAATTCACCCCAGGATGACCACCAGGAAGAAGAGGAAGACGTGGAGGAGGAAGCTTCGGCTTCAGTGGCTGAATGGGGCCCCCGCAAGAATCGTCAGGGTTCGGGGTTCAAAGGTTTAGGGTTTAGGGTTTAGGGTTTAGGGTTTAGGGTTTAGGGTTTAGGGTTTAGGGTTTAGGGTTAGGTGTTTGGGGTTTAAGGTTTGGGGCTGGGGGTTTGGGGTTTTTCTGCTTTGGATCAGGCTTTGCAGGTCTGCGGGGATGGGGGGGCTTGAGTTCTAAACACTAAACCCTAAACCCTAAGCCGCCCCTCACCCCTGAGTTCTGAACCAAGAGCTCAAGGAAGAGGAGGAGGACGACGACGACGAGGAGGAGGACGAAGAGGACGAGGAGGAGGACGAGGAGGACTCCGTGGATGGTGGGGAAGAAGCCGCTTGGGCATTTTGTTGGCTTAGGGTTTCTACCCCCTCCCCCCCCCGCAAAACGCCCCTCTAAACCCTAAATCCCTAAATCCTAAACCCTAAATAATCCTAAACCCTAAACCCTAAACCCTAAATCCCTAAATCCCTCAACCTGGAGCCATTTGAGGCCCGCACGGTGCCTTCGGCGGCGCCGCCGAAGGCCGTCGTGCCGCGGCCGCGGCCCATGGTCCCCGAAGCTTGGGCTCTTGTTTAGCCTTTGAGGGGTTTAAAGGGTTCAAGGGGTTTGAGGGTTTTTTGGGGGTTTGAGGGGCTTAAGGGGGTTGAGGGGCTTAAGGGGTTTGAGTTGTAGGGGCTGTTGTTAAGCCTTTTTAAAGGGGTTTCAGAGTACGATCTAGGATTTAGGGTTTAGGGTTTACAATGGTTTGAGGGGCTTAAGGGGATTGCGGGGTTTTACGGGGTTTAAGGGGTTCAAGGGGCTTGAGGCGTTTCCGGGGTTTAAGGGGCTTAAGGGGTTTAAGGCGTTTCAGGGGTTTATGGGGTTTAAGGCCTTCAAGGGGTTCAAGGGGTGTAGGGTTCAGGGTTTGGGGTTCGGGTTTAGGCTGGCTTAAAGGGCTTGAGGGGTTTTCGGGTTTAAGTGGCTCCAGGGGCTTCTTGGGGCTTAAGTATAGCCTTTTGTGGTGTTTTAGTGTTTTTTTGGGCAATGGAGGGGGGGGGGGGCAGTTTAGGGTTTGGCAGGGCTGTGCGTGGTGAGAATCAGTGTGCGGATCGGAGAATCCCTAGCAGTGTCCATCTGGCTTGTTAGATGTTGTACTTAGCTACTCTCCTCCCACAGTTCCCACAGGTATGCGGTAGTTGAGTCTGCATTTCAGTACTGCCATGGGGTTTTATACAGTTTTCGGCGAGTGCAGATAGGGTTCCCCCTTTTCAAAAAAGTTGTGAGCAGATGTACGGGGTGTCCTTTTGGCTTACTAGCAAGAAGAACCTCATCTTCAAACTATGATCTCTTTCCTCCTTCGCAAGGGGGCCCTAACTAAACCTAAACCTTAGTTAAACACAGTTGGGACCCCTTGCGGAGGACAGCGACGACGAAGACGATGAGGCCCCCTTCCTGGAGTCATAGCATGTTTCATAGCCTTTGAGCCCCCCCCATAGCCCCCCGAACACCCTAAGCCCTAAACCCTAAAGCGTGAAGGAACACTAAAATCCCTCAAACCACCAGTGACAGCATGTCTCAGTCGGTTCAGCTCATGCCGTAGATGTCCTAGGATACTCTGCCTCTCGTGGTCCGAGACTGCACCCTTGTACCACGGCTTTCAGCTTCCTGGTTACCCGCACCCCAAAATGATCGGGACCTTGGAGAGCCACGCGTCATTGTAGGGCTTATAGGCCCTAGGGGTTTGGGGGTTTAGGCTTTAGGGTTTAGCGCTTTCGTAGTTAGGGGTTACGGCAGGCTTAGGAGCTTAAAGTGTGCTGGATCACTGGATGTCTGTTTTATTGAAGGATGCGCCGTGGAGGGTCAAGCTCGAGGGGTCATCGCGCCCCAAACACTAAACTCCAAGCCCGGAACCCTAAACCCTAAACCCTAAACCCTAAACCCTAAACCCTAAACCCTAAACCCTAAACCCTAAACCCTAAACCCTAAACCCTAAACCCTAAAGCCTAACCCTAGGGCCCTAGGCCTAAACGGTAAGCCACAAGCCCAAAACCCTAGACCCCTAAGCCCTAAAAAACAACCTAAACCTCAATGGCTCTAAAGCTTCCATGACAAACTCGGCAAGCGTTTCTTCGGGACACATATATCTGTAGGGTTTGAGGTTCAGGGTTTAGGGTTTAGCCCCCCCCCCCCCCCCCCCCTCCGAAGAATCTACGACCTAGCTCCAAACCGCCCGACAGCCCGTTCAAATGCCCCACGCTCGAAGCCCCCAATTCCCCTAAGCCCTAAGCCCTAATTAAACTTAAACCCTAAGCCCTACCCTTTTTCGCCCTATGTCAGCTCCTAATCCCCTGAAGCCCTAAAACCCTAAAACCCTAAAACCCTAAAACCCTAAAACCCTAAAACCCTAAAACCCTAAAACCCTAAAACCCTAAAACCCTAAAACCCTAAAACCCTAAAACCCTAAACACCCAAATCCCCCCGCGAGGCTTATGGGATGTGGGGTTTAGGGTTTATAGGGTTTATAGGGTTTATAGGGTTTTATAGGGTTTATAGGGTTTGTAGGTTTAGGGTTTAGGATTCACAGACTTTGCCGTGAGGAGTCTGGAGAAGAGGGCTTCATGGACATTATGCGCGGCCTTCAGGCGGCTCGTGGGCAGGGTTCAGGGTTTGGGGGTTTAGGGATGTTCCCCCTTATGCTAACAGCTCCTTAATGGCGATTTATAGTATCCGCCCCTAAACCCTAAACCCTAAACCCTAAACCCTAAACCCTAAACCCTAAACCCTAAACCCTAAACCCTAAACCCTAAACCCTAAATCCTAAACCCTAAACCCTAAACCCTAAACCCTATTAAGGGCTGGTAGTATAAAGGGGAGCATACCCAACTTGGGGGTTTAGGGGGTTTGTTTTTTCCAAGAGCCGGTGGTTCCATGAAGTCAGGCCCGGCGCATGACGACCAGGAAGCAGTTCGCTGTAGCTAGGGTTTAGGGTTTAGGGTTTAGGGTTTAGGGTTTAGGGTTTAGGGTTTAGGGTTTAGGGTTTAGGGTTTAGGGTTTAGGGTTTAGGGTTTCTTTGCAGAAGTTCCCTGGTTTAAAGGGGGCGGGGGATTACATAAGCCAAGGATCCCCGAGGCTCCCTACTTACGAACCCTATCACTGCTTGGAGGTTCATGGGTACTTAAAACCCCAATCATAAGTCTGCTTAGAACCTACCTTCAGATTTAGGTCTCATTTTTGGTCTCGTATTGAATTTTTTCGTTTCAGGTTCATGGGTACTCATAACCCCAAGTATAAGTCTACTTACAACCTACCTGGAGGACTTAGGGGACGTAAAAGTGCAGGGCAGTGCCCTGAACCTCCAAGTGGTGTATCTAGACCCGCTCCAAGGCCAGAACAAGGTAGCACCCTCATTCCCTTGTGTTAGTGGACTCTCCATGATACAAGAAATGGAGCTCCGCGCTTCAATTTTCTGAGCCCGAGGGCTTAGGGTTTAGGGTTTAGCCCAAACCCTAAACCCTAAACCCTATAATCCCTAAACCCTAAACCCTAAACCCTAAACCCTAAACCCTAAACCCTAAACCCTAAACCCTAAACCCTAAACCCTAAACCCTAAACCCTAAACCCCAAACCCCAAACCCTAAACCCTAAAGCCTATGCGTGCAGGCGCGAGTCCGGAAGCCTGCTGGTGCTTCGGACGCCTCCTCGTCGCAGGCAGGATGGGAGGTGAATGTCACCCCACCCTATCAGCCCATAAACCCTAAACCCTAAACCCTAAACCCTGAACCCTGAACCCTGATTCCTGAACCCTGAACCCTAAACCCTAACACCCTAAAGCCCTAAAGCCCTAAAACCCTAAAACCCTAAAACCCTAAACCCTAAACCCTCAACCCTCAGCCCTAAACCCTACACCCCAAACCTCTCTTCGCATTAATGGCCCAAGCCATCGGCAAATTTAATTTGTCGGGATCCAGTGCAACTTTGCCTCATTCGTCGGCGGCAAGTTCGGCATTTGCCCACCTCTCTTTGCAGCAACAAGAATTTCAAGCTGGTCGATGAGACCAAGTGCTTGTATAGCTTCTGTAGTTTGATCAGTTGCGTGTCAGTTTGAACTGTCCGACAGGCGCCTCGGGGTCAAACGCAAAGTTACTTGTGTGAAGTCGTGACTCCGGCTCGTGGTCTCCAATCCCTAAGAGTTGAGTTTGAACTCAAAACCCTCAACCATAAGCCATAACCAAAACCCTAAATGTGACCCTGAAACCCACAACCCTCACCCTCAAACCCAAAAACCCAAACTAAACCCTGATTCAAGCCTTTGAGGCAAGCCTTTGCGTTGCCGGAAGCCTTACTTTGGCTGCTTCATACAATGGACGGGCACATGGGAAGCTCTGGCAACAAATCCCGAAAGCATCATTTGGTGGGATCGCCGACACCGCCACTATGACAGCTGCGTGGTCTTGCAGGATGCATGCGAGCAACCTGTATTTCGTATCGTGGAGACGACATGCACGGAGTTTGTTCCGTGCTCTCGTAGCGAGCTTCATTATGTAGTGAATGCTTGGACTTTGCGCTAAACCCTTAGCCCTAGGCCCTTAGGCCCTGAGAACGCACGGGCGTGGGCCCCGCCTTGCCCCCCGCATCTACCCCCCCCCCCCCGGTGAAGTTCTTGGGGCCTTAAGGGAGGGGGGCTCACGGGATGCAGGTACTTCGGGAACCTTAGAAAAGGTTAGTGAGCCTTAGGTTACAGAACCCCCCTGAACCCCCTTCCACTACGGCCGATACTGAATGTGGAGTTCCTTGTCCCCTACTCAGCCGAATCTTTGGTCGTTCTCGATATGCAGCGCTAAACCCTAGACCCTAAATCTTTAAGCCCCGCAACCCTAGACCCAAATCGCTAAACCCGCAATCCCCTAAACCCTCGTCAATCCTAGACAATGAGCGGTGACCACCTAACCGTAAACCCTAAACAATAAGCCTAAGCCCTAAACCCCTAAACCCTAAACCCCGAGACCCGAAACCCTAAACCCTAAACAGAAAGCCCTGACAGCCTAGACCCTAAAACCTTGAGACCCCAAAATGCCCGGAGGATGCGCCGAGGCCGGCCAAGCCGGCGCGCAAGCGCGATGAGGAGGCCCCAAGCTTTTTTTCCCTTCAATTTGGGCTTCGGGTTTAAGGTTGAGGATTTGGGGTTGAGGGTTTAGGGCTTGGGGTTTGGGGTAAAGGGTTTTGGGGGGCGGGGAGGGTTTGGAGGGGATGCAGTTGGCAGAGGGCTTGGGGTTTGGAGTTTGGGGTGTAGAGGGTTTAGGGCTTAGTCAGAGTTGGGTTCAGTTTTTGGGGTTTAGTGCTTTGGCGTTGGGGTTCAGGGTTTGACTTGGGATTCGGGGTTTTTGAGTTTCGGGTTGGGGGGCCAGTGTCCGCCTGCTCCTGACACAACTCCCCGCGTGCCACAAGCACGAAACCCCAGAACCCTAAACCTTAAACCCAGTCTACTATTTGCTTAATAACCCCCCAAAACAAGAAAGAACAATCCCTATATTCCCCCTTAAGGAAGAACACTTCTATTTTAGGGAGGTCCCCTAAACCCTACACCCAAAACCCAAAACCCAAAGCCCTAAACCCTAAACCCTGAATCCTAAACCCTAAACCCTGAACCCTAAACCCTAAACCTTAAACCCTGAACCCTCAGCCCTAGTTCTCTCTGCGCACAGGCGGAGCTCGAACGGGAGCGGAAGGAGGTGGCGAAGCGTACGCTGGAGCTCATGGAGGCCGCCTCAAGCCCCCTTTGATTTGGGGTTAGGGTTTAGGGTTTTAGGGTTTTAGGGTTTAGGGTTTAGGGTTTAGGGTTTGGGGTTTTAGGGTTTAGGGTTTCGGGTTTAGTGCTGCCCCTGAACCTGGTTTATGGGTATTCCCGAAATAGGGGTACCCTGTTTATACCCCAAATGGAATAGAATCCCCTTAAAGGGACCCCCCAAAAAGGGTACCCTTTTTTTCGGAAACCCGCAGAAACCTTGGGGCTTCAGGACTTCTGCAGGCGTTTGAGTTTATAAAGGCTGGCGGCATGGGCGGCATGATGTTGAAGACTGCGTGATGGCTGGAGCTTGCGGGTCGCATTGCCTACGCCCTAAGAGCCCTAGCAGCTCGTCCAGTGGTGCTTTGCAAAGGATCAGACATTCTCAGTCATTATGTGATATTCTAGTAAAATGATGCGGGGTTTCCTCGATTAGGGGTATCTTCTTGGGGGTCCTTGTTATAAGGGGGAATCTTATTACTTGGTGGGCTCTTATAGGGGTCCCTGATTTTCGCGAACCTCCTCATCTTGAGGAGAATGAAGCCTCCTTTGGGAGAGCTGACCAGGGGTAATATAGGCGCCGTAGCAATTAGGACAGAGTTATCGGGGTCATTATAGTATAATTATGTAGGGACCATACGGGAAGAATACTCGTAACTATTCCGACCCCTATAGTAGTTTCGAGGCTTTGCTTTTAAAGGTCTCCGGGTTGCTTCAGGGTTGAAACCCTATAAACCCTAAACCCCCAAAACCTAGACCCTAAACCCTAAACCCTCAACCCTGCCCTGAAACCCTACAACTCTAAAACCCTAAACCCCCGAAACCCTAAACCCTAAAACCCTCATTCCTACCCTGAACCCTAAAGCTCCAAAACCCTAAACCCGAACATAGGGGTCGAATAACTACTAGTACATTTCCCTTATGGCAAGTATATTTATACTTACAACAACCCCAAACCCTACCCTTATGGTAATTACAATTATACTACAACAACCCCAAACCCTACCCTTATGGTAATTACAATTATACTACAGCAACCCCAAACCCTACCCTTGTGGTAATTACAATTATACTTACAACAGCCCCAAACCCTACTCCAGGCCCCCTAAGCCCCCAAGCCAGGCCCGGCGCATGGTCGATGCAGCCCTGGAGGGAGATAGCGGCAAGAAGCAGGGCGGCCCAAGGCTCTAGAATCCTTGGGGGTTTAGGGTTTAGGGTTTAGGGTTTAGGGTTTAGGGTTTAGGGTTTAGGGTTTAGGGTTTAGGGTTTAGGGTTTAGGGCCCAAGGCTCCGGGATCCCAAGACCGCCTCGAAGCCCTCCGAAGGCTTAGGGCTTGGGGTTTAGGGGTTTAGGGGTTTAGGGGTTTAGGGGTCTAGGGGTTTAGGGGTTTAGGGGTTTAGGGGTTTAGGGGTTTAGGGGTTTAGGGGTTTAGGGGTTTAGGGGTTTAGGGGTTTAGGGGTTTAGGTTTAGGGTTTAGGGTTTAGGGTTTAGGGTTTAGGGTTTAGGGTTTAGGGGTTTAGGGGTTTAGGGTTTAGGGTTTAGGGTTTAGGGTTTAGGGTTTAGGGTTTAGGGTTTAGGGTTTAGGGTTTAGGGTTTAGGGTTAGTTAAGCCCTAAAGCCCTAAACCGCTCAACCCCCAAATCCAGGGCCCGAAGCCTTAGTTACTGAGCCTTGCTGTTTCCTACAACGGCGCGGCGCTTTGTCGGATTTTTCTTGTTGCGAGCCCTCTTGCCTGCTACTAGGACCCAGAGTAGAGGGCACCAATGTTCTCCCAGCTTACTCTACCCTAAACCCTAAACCCTAAACCCTAAACCCTAAACCCTAAACCCTAAACCCTAAACCCTAAACCCTAAACCCTAAACCCTAAACCCTAATCTAAGGTGCCTCAGACCGATGACCTCATGTCATCCCGAATCCCATGGGGGCCGTCAGTGCGCCCCCTAAACTCTAACTCCCCCCAGCCTTGAACCCTAGGGTTTAGGGTTTAGGGTTTAGGGTTTAGGGCTCAAATCCCTCCCCAAGCCTATATCCTCCAATCGGCCCTGAGTGCCCCCTCCCCTCTGCCAAGGAAGGGCCGCAAGCGCAACTACGTCAACAAGCGCTGCAGCGTTCACCTCATCAGGCGGGTAACGAGAGGCTTAGGGTTTTTGAAGGTTCAGGTGATGTGAGTGGGTTTAGATTTTATTTTGTTGTTGGGGGGGGGGGGGATGGTTGGGGGGATGTTAGGATGTGTTAGGGTTTCTGGAGGCCATTCCGGAGCAACTGTTTTTTCGAGTTTGCCGTGTTTTCACCTTTGGTTTGCTATGGGTGTATGCCACTTTGTTCAAAGCACCACGAAGGCATGATTCAAGGCCCAAGGTAGTCCCCTTGGGCTTGGGGACGGGTCCGAGTCTGACTCCTTGAATGATGTCGGTCAGCCCTCAACTGAGCCGCTGGAAGACGTGAAGCAATGACTCGCTTGGGTAAAACGGGACACAGGGGGGGGTGGGCGGGGGGGGGGGGGGGCCCAAACCCTAAACCCCAAACCTTGTGGGGATCCATTTTTCGGAATCCCAATCTCAAGATACCAACAGACCCGAACTTAAGCACTTAAAGCTGCCTAATTAAACCCTAAACCCTAAATGAACACCCGACAGCATCGCTGTTCAGCTGTTCAGCTGTTCAGATTCTCACTACGGCAAAAGCAACCCTGACCCTAAGCCCTAAACCCTAAACCCTTAACCCTTAACCCTAACTGAGGCAGAAGATGGACGAAGAACTTGCGGCACAGGCGCGAAAAGGGACGGGGGGACGTCGCGTGTGGGGCATTGCTTTGGCCCCCCCAAGTGTTGGCATTTGGGGCTTAGGGTTTAGGGTTTGGGGTTTGGGGTTCCACTTCTGAAAACAGGGAACACCCCCTCGGAAGATACCCATCTATCATCCTGGCTCTAGGAGCCTCCCAAAAGAGTATCCCGACTTTTGGGAAGTCCCACGTGGCCAGTTTTCTAAGCGATGGTCCTGTTTCAGGGTTCCTGTTATGCTGGAAAGCGGGCCCTTATCGCGAGGGTGCTTCAAAAAGGAAGTGGTATTTCGAGAACTGACCATGTGCTAATTCGTAAATCCTAACCCTAAACCCTCAGCCCTAAACCCTAAACCCTAAACCCTAAACCCTAAACCCTAAACCCTAAACCCTAAACCCTAAACCCTAAACCCTAAACCCTAAACCCTAAACCCTAAACCCTAAACCCTAAACCCTAAACCCTAAACCCTAAACTAAACGCTTGTTGAGGTCCCTAAATCCGAATCCCGCAGGAGCGGGGGCCGCGATATGTCAACAACGTGGCGATCTTCGTGAAGAAGGGGCACCGTGGGTTTACAGGGTGTGGGTTTTTTGGGTTTAGGGTTTAGGGTTAGGGTTAAAAGTACACTTAGGGGTTAGGGTAAGAAGTACACTCAAGATAGTAGGTTGTAGCCATAGTACACCCTGCTTATCAGCAACAGCGAGAGGGTTTAGTTTAGACTGAAAAGCCCATCCAAACCGAAGCATCCCCAAGACTAAAAAAAAACAAACAAACCCTAAACCCTTAAAGCCTTCAAAGCCATCAACACCCTTAAAGCCCTCAAAGCCCTCAACTTACTTTTGGTTAGTAGGGCATGGGGGAAAATAGGTTAGTAGGGAATGGGGGAAAATAGGTACCCTACCTACTCCCTAACTAATCCTAATTTGAGCTCCTTCTTCTGCCCTTAGAGTTTAGGGTTTTCTTGGGTCTTGTTAGGGTTTGGGGTTTAGGGTTTAGGGTTAGGGTTGCTTGGTGAACCCCAAACCCTAAACCCCAAACCCTAAACCCACACCAGGCAAAAGGACATTGACGCCAACACGACAGCCTGGCTTGTTGACTTTGCTCTTTCAGGTCCCACGGTGGTGACACGAGACATGTGGATGCTGTGGCCAGGGGTGCACTGCATGTAAGAGCCCGTGTTTTTATTCTGTTTGGGGTTTATAGGCTTTATCGGGTTTCTCTGCATCTTGGCATTGCATTCTAGTCTATTTAGGGTTTATAGGGTTTATAGGGTTTATAGGGTTTGAAGGGGTTTATGGGGTTTATGGGGTTTATATTGTTTATAGGGTTTATAGGGTGAAAAGGTTTGATACCACAACCATGTGCAGATCGCACTTGCACATGCGTGTCTTTGGCATTCTCTACGATGAGAGCGTTCGAGTATCGCCGAAAGGGTAGCGCAAGAGGGCCCTAAAACCTAAACCCTAAAACCTAAACCCTAAACCCTAAACCCTAAACCCTAAACCCTAAACCCTTAACCCTAAACCCTAAACCCTATAAAGGGCAGTGCCGGGTAGTGCAAGAAGGACCTTTTGGCACTGGTTTAGCCTGAGCCCAAAACCCGAAAGCGAACCCTGAACCTTAAACCCTCCACCCTCAACTGAACCCTGAACCTCAACCCCCCCCCCCCCCCATCCCAACACTGAACCCTGAACCTTAAACCCTGAACCCTGAACCCTGAACCCTGAACCCTAAACCCTAAACCCTGAACCCTGAACCGTGAGCCTTAAACCCCCAACCTGAACCCTGAACCCTGAACCCTGAACCTTAAACCCTGAACCCTGAACCTTATAAACCCCAAACTCAACCCTGAGCCCTAACTCCTGCGCCCCGCCAGGGCCGATGTGCTCGTGAAGAAGGATGCCCCGGCCTCAGTTGGACCCCTACAGTATATTCGGGTTTAGGGTTTTAGAGCTTTTGGGTTCATGGTAGGAATTTGGGTTTTAGGGTTTAGGGTTTTGGTGGTTTACGACAAGGGTTTAGGGTTCAGGGTTCAGGGTTCAGGGTTTAGGGTTTAGGGTTTAGGGTTTAGGGTTCAGGGTTCAGGGTTTAGGGTTTCGGGTTCAGGGTTTCGGGTTGAGTTGAGGGTTTCGGGTTACCCTAAACCCTAAACCCAAAAGATGGACCCCCAAATAGTAGGAGATAACAAGGCCCAAGAAGGTACCCCCTATTTTCGTCAACCTCCAGAGATTCACAGCGCGAACCCATGCT